GAGTGGGGAACATTCCCTTAAAGTTTCAGCTTTCTAGCTTTTCCCGTTCCCGGGTTAGTGATTTCCACGCCAAAATTCCCACGTGCTCGTACGTGAGCCCCGGATGCTTCTAAACATCTGATTTTGCTCGTACATGAATAGGGAACATTCCCTTAAAGTTTTAGCTTTCTAGCTTTTCCCGTTGCCGAGTTAGTGGTTTTCGCGCCAGAATTTTCATATGCCCATACATGAGCTCGGGGCGCCTCTAAACACCTGATTTTGCTTGTACATGAGTGGGGAACATTCTCTTAAAGTTTCAGCTTTCTAGCTTTTCCCGTTCCCGGGTTAGTGATTTCCGCGCCAAAATTTCCACGCGTTCATACGTGGGCCCCGGCCGCTTCTAAACACCTGATTTTGCTCGTACATGAGTGAGAGACATTCCCTTAAAGTTTCAACTTTCTAGTTCTCTCCGCTCACGGATTAGTAATTTTCGCGCCAGAATTTCCACGTACTCGTACGTGGCCCCGGGTGCTTCTAAGCACCTGATTTTGATCGTACATGAGTGAGGAACATTCCCTTAAAGTTTCAGCTTCCTAGTTCTTCCCGCTCCCGGATTAGTAATTTTCGCGCCAAAATTTCCACGTACTTATACGTGGGACCCCGGGCGCTTCTAAACACCTGATTTTGCTCGCACATGAGTGGGGAACATTCCCTTAAAGTTTCAGCATCATAGCTCTTCCCATTCCCGGGTTAGAAATCTTCGCGCTAAAACTTCCACTTGCTCGTACGTGTGCCCCGGGCGGTCCTAAGCACCTGAATTTGCCCGTCCATGAGTAGAGAACACTCCCTTAAAGTTTCAGTCTTCTAGTTCTTCCCATTCCCGGGTTAGAAATCTTCGCGCTAAAATTTCCACTTGCTCGTACGTGGGCCCCGGGCGGTCCTAAGCACCTGAATTTGCCCGTACATGAGTAGAGAACACTCCCTTAAAGTTTCAGCCTTCTAGTTCTTCCCGCTCCCGGATTAGTAATTTTCGCGCCAAAATTTCCACGTCCTCGCACGTGGACCCCGGGCGGTTCTAAGCACCTGAATTTGCTCGTACATGAGTAGAGAACACTCCCTTAAAGTTCCAGCCTTCTAGCTCTTCCCGCTCCCGGGTTAGAAATCTTCGCGCCAAAATTTCCACGTGCTCATACGTGGGCCCCGGGCGCTTCTAAACACCTGATTTTGCTCGCACATGAGTGGGGAACATTCCCTTAAAGTTTCAGCATCATAGCTCTTCCCATCCCTGGGTTTGAAATCTTCGCGCCAAAATTTCCACGTGCTCGTACGTGGGCCCCGGGCGGTCCTAAACACCTGAATTTGCTCGTACATGGATAGGGAACATTCCCTCATGGTTTCAGTCTTCTAGCTCTTCCCGTTCCCGGGTTAGAAATCTTCATGTCAAAATTTTCACGTGCTCTTACGTGGGCTCCAGGCGCGTCTAAACACTTGATTTTGATCGTACATGAGTGGGGAACATTGCCTTAAAATTTCAGCTTTCTAGTTCTTCCCGCTTTCGGATTAGTAATTTTCGCGCCAAAATTTCCACGTCTTCCACTTGGGCCTCGGGCGGTCCAAAACACCTGAATTTGCTCGTACATGGGTAGGGAACATTCCCCCAAAGTTTCAGCTTTCTAGCTTCTCCCATCCCTGGGCTAGTGATTTTCGCGCCAGAATTTCCACGTGCTCGCACGTGGGTCCCGGGCCTTTCTGAAAACCTGATTTTGGTCGTACATGCGTAGGA